AATGAACCACTAAATCTAAATCAGAGACAGGCTTATCAACGAGAGCAAGCTCAGCAGCAACAAGCTTCAGATCATTCACATATGTACGAACATCGCTATTGCCTCTGGTCATGCTGGCTAATTTTCCTTTTAGGTTTATGATGCGAGATTGAGAGCGTCCAGCATACAACTTCTCAAGAATCAACCAAGCCTCACGAGCAGTAGAGGCGGCAAAGACAAAGGAATACAAAGATTCATCAATAGAGCAACGGAGAGCATGAAGAATAAGCTTATCTTGACGAAACCAACGTCGATAAGCCGGATTGGGTCTGGACAGATTGTTCTCTGTAATCGTGGAGGGAGGAACAACACTGGTTCCATCGATAAAATCAATAAGGTCCAATCCCATCAGAAGAGTCTCCAGCTGCGAACGCCAAGAATTGAAGTTGGAGGGAGTGAGCTTCAATGGCAATTGTGCGGCGGGATTGAACGTGATGATCGAGTCTTCATTCGCAGCAGAGGAGGTCATAACAGAAGTGGCAGTTCCTGACATTGCCGAGATTTGGGATGAGATAGATGTTGTATGATGAAAGTTTTTGGCAGAGAAAGACTAATGGAGATGAAGAGTGGATCAAGTCTAGTTGAACGTCGCTAGGGCTCTGATACCATGTTGGAGATGTTTCTGTGAGTGAATATTGCGAAAAAACTAATTTGATTTGATTTGATTGAGTACAGGATTATTATACACATACAGTGAGTGTTTGTAGCAACATAAAGGTAGTGGAGGAATACACGTTCCACAAAAAGAGGAACAGAAGAGAGGTGGACTAACGTAAATAAATAAATAAATAAATAAATAAGGAGAAATCCTTTTTATTTAGTTATCTCTAATAGTTTGTTCCATAATTTTATTAAAAAAAATGAAGCACTCTCATTAGAATTTTTTTTTGGTAGAACTCTATTTAGAGTTTTGCTAGCATAGATTTGAACCTTATAATTAATCTTAATTTGTCCAAAGAAGTCAATCGTGTAATGATTACATTCAAAAGTGATTTCCCCCACAGGGAAACATAAATTATCCCTTTAATGAATAGTAATTTTTGGCTTAGGTTCAATACATATCTCATCTTATAAGTAGGAGGGTGACTATACGATCCGATCCGGTTAAATTGGCCCAAATTGATCCGATCTCAGTCCGGTCTTTTCAAAAATATAAGGACCGAATATTGGATTGGATACAGTCCGGTCTTGATCCGGTTCGGTCTTGACCCGGTCCGGTCCCAATTCGGTCATGAAAGTGTGAGGAGTTGGTTAAGTTTTGTACTAAGTGCAAAGGTTTGTGACCGTTTATGCAAATTACCCTTAAGTTTTGGGTGTTGAGCTCTTTAACCGGTCTTTATCAGTTTTTTATCCGGTCCCAAACGGTTTTTTACCTAAAATCTAAGCCCAAAACTTGGATTGGATTGTTTACTATCAGGTCCCGATCCGGACTTGTTTTTAGTTATAATTAAATTGTAGATATGCAAGAATATTAATTTCTCAAATAATTAAACTACTTTCATCATGTTGTTTCTTGATTTTTGTAATGCAAAGGTGAATATTTTTAATGTTTTCAGTTTAAACTATATATCCATATGGGTCAACCTCCCCGACCCAGGTCTCATAATAAATTTCCCCTGGATGCGACCTGCCACAGAGCGGATATGAATATCAAAATACCTGTCGCATGAAAGATATGGATACCGAGATACTCGTAGCCCATTTCCATTCCTAATAACATGGTTTATACCGGTTCAACGAGGTTATCTTTGACCATTTTAGATTGGGTATGCATAGAAATTTGAGGTTGGAGCACTCAATATCAATTTCAATGTTGTCTCGTGAATTTCATGTTTGATCACTAAGTTTATTAATTTTTTTACGCTGGTCACTCGAAAATTTTCATTACTTATTATTTACTTATTTTAACTCCTTATTTCATCATTGGTCCTCCAAGTTTATTAAAATCGTCCGAGGTAAACTCGCTCAAATAAAAAATATAGATGAAAATAGCAATGACAACTACAATTCGTCACAATTCGTCACTAAGGACTTTAGTAATGACATTTTACTGTCTTCGGTAATGTTTTGTGAACTACTAGTGCATTTTGTGACCATACTTATATAGGTCAGTAAAGACAACAAAATCCTCGTCACTAAACCCAACTTTTAATTAGTCATTTGTCCTCCAAACCACCGGCCAGCAAAAATTACCCCCGACGGTCAAAGCTTATCATTACGGCTTTTTCTTGCTCGTGTTGAAGTATTTGTCTAATTTTTTTTGTAGTGCAGCGTGTCGCGTGCGGTACAATTTATAAGGTTGATGTTGTGTTTCATATACAATCAATATTTATAATAATAATAATGTTGTTAAAACACTTTTTTTCTCCCAAGGAATGTTGTTGTTCAAAACTTGTGCTGAACTGCTGATAATAGATAAACCAAAATTTTATTATATAGTCTTCTTAAGATTAAAAAAAAAACAAGTGAACTGTACATATGCTTGCACAACGTCACTCGCCAATTAAGTAGTACATCTCTAGCGCACAAAGAAAATATAATCAAATGAAAATCAAGGCCAGACGTTACAACATGAACGAGAGACGCCTATCTCGAACAAAGAGGTTGCACCAAAAAACAGTTGCACCATGAGAATTCCGTGATTCGAAATTCCAACTTACCACAGAGCCCCGGTCGAGCACACGGGCACGGATATCGTCGTCTTTGCATGCACAATGCGCTATTAGTTTCAGACCGCATAGCTCATTTTTCACATTAACCGACCTGGGATTTTGCTCAGAAGGATGCGGCATAGCAATAATTATTATGATTGTTAATTCTAAAAAAAAAAGCAATAATTATTATGGTTGCCAAAACCTCCACGGTGGCTAATACCACTAAAAAATCCAAACTATTAAAAATGTACCATTTGTGTTCTAAAGTATCCAATATGACATTTGTGTCCTAAATTATTTTTCCGTTAGAGTTGACCTGCGTTAACCATTAGTATTTAACAAATGACACATTTTTAATAGTTTGGGTTAGGTCCAGGGGCGTAGCTAGATTTGTAGAAAGAACAAAATATTAGTAGTATTAGTTAGTTAATGATTATATTTATCCTAAATTTCAATGTTAATCGTCAAATCTTCTACCGAATCCCAACAAACTAATAAATTAATTTCATCTACTATTTCTACATGAAAATTAGTTTCTATCAATGTATTTGCTTGTGAAAATAGATTTGATTTGCTACTAACATCTGTCAATGCAAATAGATAACATTTTATGCTATGAAACGATTGATCAGCCTTCGCATCTAGTGAACTAAAGTAGTGAATGGTTATTCGGTGGGATATATTAAGTATGAAATCTTGATAATTTGGCCGATTCATATAGTTATAGAATAATTTCACAATATAAAACACGAGACCGCGTAAATAATTTTTTTATGGCACCCCCTTAAATAAAATTCTGGCTATGCCACTGGTTCGGTCATAAATGTCACAAAACTATAATAGGTTGGGACATAAATGACACAAAACTATAATAGGTTAGGACACAAATGTCATATTAAATACTTTAGAACACAAATAACACATTATTAATAGTTCGAATTTTCTAGTGGTATTAGCAGAGGCGGAGGCAGCCAGTTTTGCCCCTGTCACAGGACAGGGGTCATTTTTGACTTGGAAAAAAAATACCTCCATATATGTTCCACACAAGTATCGAACCAGAACCTTCAGTTCACACACTGCTACGCTACATCCAATTGTTTGATTATAAATGGAAACAATATAGATATATTCGTTCTTAAACGGAATCCCAATTAAACAAAAACCTAATCCCATCCCTTTACCCTCTTCGTATTTTCATTTTTCATACAGCAGAAAGACAGACGAGAGAGACAGCAGCAGTCGGCCTCTTCAGCGTCAGGGGAAAGGGGATTTTCCTCCTCTGCGACCATCACCGATCCAACCCAGCAACCCCAACCATTTCGGCCTTTCTTCTTACTTTCCCCTTAGGCCTTTGCCTTTCGTTCTCCTTAGCACCTCCTTGCGGCAGCAGCAAAAGTCATTGTCCACAGGCAAGCGGCAGCGGGTGTTGGGTGGCAATCCTTCCATTCTATTTCACCATTTTGTTCTAGGTAAGCTGTGAAATTGAAACCTGAAATTATATTGTGTTGTTCACCGATGTAACTCATGATAGTTGTGTTTGTTGATACGTAAATAGAACTGAAATTGTGTTGCTTATTGTGTGCTTATCTTGGCAAATTAGATCTTTCAAATGGAGAGGTATTACTTTCCAAAGAAGAACAAGACTTCCCCAATTACTACAGCCCAAGATTTTGAAGGAAGTGGAAGTAGACAAGCCCAAACTTTTCCTCCTTCAACGGTGGTGGTTCCTTCCGAGATTCGACAATCAAATGTATCGGTTTCGATAAATCAAACTTCACTACAAAGTAAGTCTTCATCTCAAGAAAGTGAAAGTGAGTCTTCCTTTGAATATGAAGAAAGCCGGTTTGATATGAATTCATTGAAAATGGATCCGGGATTAAGAGATAAAGTTTCTAGTTTTCATCCTGATGTGCAAGATGAAGTTAGAAGGTTTTATCTTGAAAATGGTCCTGCCAACCTAAAGGTCATCGTTTTCCATATAGTGACTTTAGTGGGAAGAAACGCAGATTCCGTTCATCTTGGTTTCTAGAGTATAATTGGCTTGAATACAGTATTGAGAAAGATGCAGCATTTTGTCTCTACTATTATTTGTTTGGTAAGAAAAGTGGAGCACAGGGTGGTTTTGTTGGTGAAGGTTTCAGAGGATGGAATAGAAAGAAGTGTTTTGCTGATCATGTGGGCAGGCATAACAGCTTCCACAACAAAGCTAAAGGCAATGCGGACCTTTTGTTGAAGCAATCACGAGGCATTGCAGCTAGTTTATCTAAACAATCAGATCAAACCAAAACAGATTATCGAACTCGATTGATGGCTTCACTTGAGTGCATAAAGTTTCTTATGCGGGGTGGATTAGCTTTACGTGGGCACAATGAATCATCATCTTCAAGCAACAAAGGTAACTTTCTTGAGCTATTGGAGTTTCATGCTTGTGGTAGAGAAGAAGTAGAAAGAGTTGTTTTGAGAAATGCTCCAAAAAATCTCCAATTGACCTCCCCAGATATCCAAAAAGATCTTGTTCATGCAATGGCTTCTGAAACAACCAAAAAAATCATTCAAGATCTAGGAGATAACTTCTTTTGCATATTAGTTGATGAGACTCGTGATGCTTCAACCAAGGAACAAATGGCCATTGTTTTACGTTATGTGAATGATCAGGGTTTGGTTATGGAGAGGTTTCTTGGTACTACTCATGTGGCAAATACCAAAGCCTTGACACTTAAGGGTGAAATTGAAACTATGCTTTCAAAACATGGATTGAGTATGTCAAGGATAAGGGGACAAGGCTACGATGGAGCTAGCAACATGAAAGGACAAATCAATGGGTTGAAGAGTTTGATCTTAGCTGAAAATTCTTCTGCTTATTACATTCATTGTTTTGCACATCAGCTTCAGTTGGCTCTTGTTGCTGTAGCTAAGAATCATCTTGAAGTTGGTGGTTTTTTCAAGACTGTCAATAGTGTGATGAATCTGATTGGAGCATCTTGCAAACGATCTGAGTTTATTCGGGATGCTCAAGTTGAGAAGATTGCTGAGGCTGTAGCTGCTAATGAACGAGAGACTGGAAGGGGATTGAATCAAGAAATGGCTCTTAAAAGACCAGGTGATACTCGTTGGGGTTCTTACTATGGGGCGCTTATCAATTTGGATAGCATGTTTTCTGCTATTATTGATGTGTTGGATACAATTCAGAATGACCCTACTCTGAGACAGAGACAGCTATTGATGCATGGCGTATGTCGATTACACTTCAAGATTTTAACTTTGTCTTCATTTTGAAGTTGATGATTGAAGTGTTAGCGATAACGAATGAGCTATCACTAGCATTGCAAAGGAAAGATCAAGACATTGTAAATGCCATGAAACTTGTTCGTGTGTCAAAGACCAGATTACAAGAGATGAGAGACAATGGATGGGAGTCTTTGCTTGATGATGTAGTTTCAAGCTGCACTAAAGATTCTATTCACATTCCTATTATGCATGATGTGTATGTTCTTCCAGGACGGTCAAGGCGCAAAGCTCCGGATATCACAAACCTACATCACTTTCAGGTTGAACTGTTTTACACGGTTGTGGATATGCAGCTGCAAGAGTTGAATAATCGCTTTGATGAGGTGAATACCAGATTGTTGACTTGCATGACTTGTTTTAGCCCGGAGTCTGAATTCGCTGCTTTTGACCTGGAGAAACTGATGTGTCTTACTAGATTTTATCCTGCTGAGTTTGGTTCCATCCATGATACTATTATTCGACAACAGTTTATTGGGTATCATCGTGATGTTACTGCTGATGAGAGATTTGCTAGATTAAAAGGAATTGATGAACTTTCTCGAGTAATGGTGGAGACAAAAGTGCATCAGTCATATCCGTCTGTTTATTTGCTTCTGAAGCTAGTTTTGACTCTTCCAGTTGCAACTGCAAGTGTAGAAAGAGCATTTTCAGCTTTAAGCTATATCAAGAACAAGCTTTGAAGTCGAATTGGAGATCAGTTTGCTAATGATTGTTTAGTAGGATACATTGAAAGAGACTTACTTACGCATGTAGACAACGAATGTATTTTGCATTTCTTTCAGAATATGAAAACCCGTCGTGGTTGTTTGTGAAAACAATGATTGTATTAGTGGTAATTTCTTTATCTATGAATGGATTATTTGGATATTATTAATTTTAATTTTAATTATTTATTAATTAATTAATTATATTTATATTTTGAAAAGAGGACATGGGTAGTTTCAAATCCTGGCTCCGCCACTGGGTATTAGCCCGTAAACTTACAAGCTCCCTTATCTTTGGTTGCGATGTGGTACATGCAGTAGTATTTATAATAGAAGAGTCTTTGGACCTCTACCGTAACTCATGTTTCTGTTAACTGAACCCGATAATAAACTAGGTATACAAACTTAATTAATCGCTTCATACGAACATGTATATTATTGTTGGTTATATTTTTTGAGTGGAGCAAGACGATTGAATTGCACAATTGAACCCCTTAACTTTGCATTAAGTGTTTCTTATGCCGACCAGGAATAAGTGGAGGCCAATCATAATTGATGGGTTAATACAAAAAACATAAGCTCGTTGGCATGGCATGGAATGGATTATCTTAACAAATTTACTTAGGAGTGGGGTTGAGAGAGGACAATAACAAAATCAGTTACTCTAAATAGATTTAATTTGTTGTATCGATCTCTTAAAATTAAAAATAAACTAGGCTAAACCTTGATAAGCAAATGACTTTTTTCATCATGGTTAGCTAGTTCACTACATCTTATTCAAGTATTTCTATGGTGTTTGATATTTTTTTATTTTCAAATTTTGATTTGAGTTTAATAAGCAATTCAGAATTTTTTTTTCTAATTTATAAATAAAGGATAATCTTAAAATTGCAACGCAAATATCATTGGTTGAATTATTGCAGTATTAAATATGAAAAAAATGTATAATTCTCAAATTAATATTAATTTTCAGAACTACCATGAAGTAAGTATTTTGTGCGAACTATAATTCTATAAATGACTGGTCTCTAACTATAATCTAGCATGATTAGACCAAAAAATAATGAGACGAAATAAGGTTTGATGTGTTGTTCGTTTGACCATTTTGGTTGTGTTATATAATGAATTTTTAGGGCAATGACATATACATTATTGTTGATGAACCTGCTTTTTTATTTTTAATTCTTTATCTAAGTAAAATTGTTTAAGGCTTGAACTACCTTTATATTCACTCGAATGGTTGGATAAATTTTGTTTTGCAATTTATAATAATTATTTAATTCATAATATTTTGTAATGATTGAAATCTTTTATATATGATTTAGAAGTATACTTATTATTTGTGGCATATATAAATGGTAATTAGTTCAAATGTAGTATTTCATTCTTAAGATTGAAAAAAGATGGCTCATGGCTAGTGGCACGACATAACTGCCCTGGCCTGATCGCCAATTAAGTTGTACATCTTAGCACGCAAGAAAATATAACAAAATGAAAATCAAGGCCCAACGTTACAATGTGATTTATCGACAGACAACGCTCCATACCTCCATTCAGAAATCAAACGATGTCCTACAGTAAAAACTCCCTTCTCGTTGACAACCCAATGCTCATGTCTATTACGAATTGCCGCGTTATACGCGGTGAAAGAAAGATGGTTGTTCCGGACTGCGAGGTTGCACCAAAAAACAGTTGTACAAATGAAATTCACCGATTCGAACTCCCAACTGAAAGCAGAGCCCGTGTCGAGCACGTGGGCATGAAGATCGTCGTCTTTGGATGCACAATGCACTATCAGTCTGAGACCGCATAGCTCATTTTTCACATGAAGCTTCGTCACGGCTTGCTGAGTTGAGGGATGTGCCATAACAGCCATTGCTATGGTTGTCAAAACCACCGCAGCATGCAAATTTCTGACGAACTTCCACATCTTGATGATCTCCCTTTCTCTTTTTGTTAGGATAACAATGTTGTTCAAATTTGTGATGTATTTGTAGTAAGCGGGGCACTGGATGATCAGGTGAAGAGTCCTTTGGATTTTGGAACTCTGGCTCTGTCTCAGCTGCATGTCGATCTCTTGAACACAATAATAAACAAGTATATGAAAATAATTAATTGCTGCATACAAACTGACATAGATTATAATTAATTTATAATGTTTGGAGTGGAGCAAGACGATTAAATTGTCACAATTATTTCCTTAACTTTGCATTGAGTGTTTCTTATGTATCGACCGGGAATAAGTGGAGGCCAATCGCAATTGATTGATCGTCAAAACAAAAACATAAGTATTAAGTTGGCAGGAATTGCTTCCAATATCAAGGACCATGGTTTAGACCGGTTCGATAAGCTCATCTTTGCCCCCTTAAGTAGGGCTGGGAAACGGTGCGGTCTGGTCCAGACCAGACCATATATATGGTGTATGGTCCAGACCGAGAGACTGAAGTATAGACCACAGACTATACGGTCCGGTCCAGACCACGCATGTGCGGTCTTGTTCGGTCTGGTCTGGTCCAGATAGATCACACTCAAAGAAAAATGAATCATTTGTTTAGTCAACCACACAAAAAATTTAACCTATAACCAAGAAAAATATTTGTTATTTGCCTTAAAACATTCATCCTAACATGCATGAATTTTTTATACCCTAAATCTTAGTACATAACAAAAATACAAAGTAAAAGCATCCCAACTTGCACCATAACGTTATAAACATTAACATAATGTCATATGGAGACACATTTATCTCTAATCTCTGGTTAAATGTGGTTGTGAATGAAGGAGGGACGAGATTCTCAAAATTAAGGTTGAGACTTGGGTGTCGTTGTGGGAGTTGGGAGACTGATCGAATGGACTATTAACACATATTGACAAGTCAGTTGGGTCCACGGTTTGGTCCGGTAAACCGCGATCTAGACCAGACTAGACCAAGAGATCAAAACATAAAATACTACAGACCATGGACCAGACCAGACCATACTTAACGGTTTACGGTCCAGACCAAATTGTGCGATACGATTTGGATCACGGTTTTTCTAACGGTCTGGTCTATTTTCCCAGCCTACCTTTAAGATTGGATATGTAGGTAGTCTCCGGTTATGAGTAATTGCAGTTGGGTTGCATTACTCAATATCAATTTTGCCTCTTTCAATAATGTCAAATCAACGAAAGCATAATCGAGAGAAGACAAGATTTACGTGGGTTTTTCAACTATGAGTCTTATATGCCGAGACCAGGAATAATTGGAGGCCAATTGCGATTGATTCGTCAAAACAAAAACATGACGAGTAGGTACGCATGGCAGGAATTGCTTGCAATAACAAGGTAATGAGATTTCTTGGTCATCTTTTTTTATTTTCGAATTTGGATTATTTTAATTGGGGCTTAATAAGCAATTCAGAATCTTTTCTAATTTTATACATGAAGGATAACATTAACGGCAACTGATATATCATTGTTTGATTTGCAAATCGAATTGCAGTATCGAATATGTAAAAAAGATTATAATTCTTAAATTAATATTGATTTTTCAGAATTACCATGAAACACAAATATTTTTTGCAAACTATAAGTGACTAGTTCTATAAACTTTTTAGTCCATCATCTCTTATCGTGGTGTTTGGAATGAGTATAAACTTATTTATCATAATGCATATAGCTATACCTAAGAATCTAACAATCGGGCTAGGTCTGTTTGTCTACAGGGTCCGTTTAGGGTCAGGTCATATTTTAGCTTGTAAGGGTCGGGTAGGGTTGGGTCAACTTAGGGTCGTGTCACTTTTTGGTCCTTTAACCTATAGCAACGACTAGTTATATGAAATTAAATTACTCATACCAACACATTGGATCTATTTGTAAAGTTTTAAAAGTTTCGGTTCTATAATGCAAAATATAAAATATAAAGATGCTAAAACATAATATCCACAAAAATTTCCAGACTTGTTTGTAAAAGAAATTAAGTTTGGTTACTAAATTGATAAAAAAACTTGGGTATCAAAATGTCATTTTCAAAAATTAGTGTGTTGATTCAATTTTCTGATTGACCCTACAGAAACGGGTCAGATAGGATTCTTACATATCATACGCAGATATGGCCCAATTTCAGCCCTAACTATACTGGTTAGTTTCTATTTCAAGTTATTCGAATTGGGAGATTCGATTGTCGGGGAGCTTTCCATCGCCGACGATCAGAAGGGTACTTGAGATCCGGCGAGGTGGATGGATTCACAGCGTTGGTCGTTGAGAGCTTACTTTTGTCAGGTGGGTTGAAACTTATTCTCAGGTCCATCCCAATTCCCAACAGCTGAATTGGTACAAATAAAAGCCGCAAACATTCAATATAGAGCAAGCAAGGAGGATGATAGATGAATCGAAATTCTATTGATACACTTCTTCAAGATATATTAGTCAACTTCCCTGGAATTCGAACTTGAAATCTTGGACTGAAAACCAGCAGCACAACCATTTTAACCACCATCGATCTCTTTCGCTTCCCAACCTTCTAATCATTCGAGAGAAGATCGGGATCGTTTGTGGCAGCGGCGAATTTAGACCAAATTAGAGTACTAGACCGCATTTAAAAAGCGATGAAGATGGTTGAGCCGTAACCCTATAATTATTGAAATACATACTCAAAATAAAAAATGTACAAGTGATATACGAACTTTGGATCCGGAGAGGGCTGGGCCGTGGCCCCACTAGATCCGCCGCTGATCCGTGGACAGCAAGCTGTAGATGAAAAGATCCCTGATCTCACCTTTACAGTAACCATATTTCCTGAGCAGCCCTTCTCTCAAGAACCCTGCTTTCTCCAGCACCCTCTGAGACGCCCTGTGCTCGATCTCCACCAGCGCCTGCAGCCTCACGACTTCCGGGAGGTCGGCGAAGACGGTGGACACGGCGATTCTGAGGGCGGCCGTGACGATCCCCTGCCCCCAGTACTCTGCCGCCAGGATGTACCCGACGTTCGCGCGGCTGCGGTCGTCTCCGGAACCGGGGAAAATGGAGATGTAGCCGATGGACCGATCTTCGTCGTCGTCGTCGTCGAGGAGGCCGATGGATCGGCGCCATGGGTGGGGGATGGCGACGGTTTCCAGGTGGGTCAACGCTTCTTCTCTGGAAGTTATGGGGTTCCATCTCATGTGTCGGGTTGCTGTTTCGTCGCCGGCGTATTTGAGGAAGTCGTCGACGTCGGCGAGCTTGAAGGGGCGGAGGGTGATTCTTGATGTTGGGTCCATGATTGGATATGGTTGCAAAAAAATTGGGAGTAGAAGCAGAGCAGTATGTTAGGTGGGCAGTTGCTTTGTTGTGTTTCAGTGGCAGAGTGCAGAGCTCTGTTTTGAGTCAACTTTCGATTATTTTATAGACCAATTCTGTGGAAAATTTGTGCAAACTTTCTATCTTGTTTTGCAACTAAGAGAAGAGTAGGAAATAGGGGAGGAAGGTGGCCAGGGGTGATGTGTCCTTATGCTCCCAGAAAGTTCGAGGGTGTTGAATTCATTAAGTCAATGATATCAAAGATGAGTGACACTGAAAGTGTAGGGAGTTGAATTTCAACTTATTCACAAAATTAATAATTTAGTTGAAAATGAATAATTCACAAAATTATTCGGATTAGATACCTACATAAGTTTCACGTAGTTTATTAAACATTACGAATAACATACGTCATCTGTTTGTTTAAGTGATACATAATGAATAATTATTCCTACATAAAGATTTATGTAGTTTATAATCATTATGGAAGATTTATATGATATTTTTGGTTAATTGATACATACAAAATGATTATATGTTCATAATATTTACGTAGTGTTTTAATCATTAAGGAATGCTCATTAATATCTTGTTTGCATAACAACTATCCGGCTATAAATTTTAGTTTATGTAATGTCTATAATTTTTAGAAATGAATTTATATATGTAACCGTTATAGAACGTTGTTTATGCAATTTTTATAGATGTTGTTACATAAAATTTTCATAATGTGTGGTCTAATAATAAAATCAAATTTAGAAAATAACATATGATTAAACTGTTATGCCAAAGTCAACTAACCTTGCACAACCTTTTCATATTGTGAATTGATGACATGTTAAATATTTTAATTAACAATAATAAAATTTTAGCTAATATTAAGGAAATAATATAATATGGTTCCTATTATTTAGGAGAAATTAAAGGACTTATCGTAGAACTGGTTGTACTGTACCGTAAAATTGGTTATTACCACGAAGAGAGAAAATAGTCTATTTTTTTCTTAATGAATAGTAAAAAGTTCTTGTACTTTTAATTATATATGGTCTAATAATAAAATAAAATTTTAGAAAGTAAGATATGATTAAGATATTATGTCAAAGTTAACTAACCTTGTGGAACCTTTGTATAATGCAAATTGATGACATTAGGCAAATAATAGATTACATGGCGTCGTTTTTCCCTTTGGTTTGCGAATTATGGCTCATTTTCGATTTTTCCCTTTGCCTAACCCTACATTTAAAATTCTAAGTTGTATATTTGAATAATGATGTTATATGAGTGTGTATGAATTTTCACTATATGTTGGATCCAAATACGAACTGTTATTTTCGTATAATGTTATATTATATATATATACTAGAAGAGATTTGATATCAATATATAAATGTATGAATACTATAATAACTTTTTGGGATAATACCACTAGGAAACCCAAACTATTAAGAATGTGTCATTTGTGTCCTAAAGTATCCAATATGATATTTGTATCCTAAACTATTTTTCCGTTAGAGTTGACCGGCGTTGACCGTTAGTATTTAACAAATGACACATTCTTAATAGTTCGGGTTTGGACATAAATGACACAAAACTATAATACGTTGGGACATAAATGACACAAAACTATAATAGGTTGGGACACAATCACACAAATGTCATATTAGATACTTTAGGACACAAATGACACATTCTTAATAGTTCGGGTTTCCTAGTAGTATTAGCCCTAACTTTTTTCACAAATCCGAGTTAAACCAAGCTGAAGTGAGCGGACAATTAACCCTCAACCCACTTCCTCGACCGGTCCAACTAAAT